CGTGTAAATATCACCAACCAATGTGGAACTCTAATACCTATTAATAGTTAAAATATTCTATCTTATCCCTCGTATGTAAATTATATTGTTCACTTATTTGTAGCTACAGTAGGAAATAACTAAAATTAATACCGAATAAGAGTATCACTCCTAAAATGTAAGATGATATCTATCAACGAGAGTTAATATTTGAAATTAAGCTTGAATGTGTTCTCTATTTTAACTTTTCAAAATAATGAGTAGGTTTGGATCTCGCAATTCACTCTCTATTTGTAATTTATAATGCTTGAATTTTCAAAAGTCATAAATTTTGATGTTCCATTCACTGAGTTATTCAAACATTATTAAAATTTTTTGGTCATTGGCAATTTAAAATAAAATATTATTTAAAATGTGGAAAAGTGATAATTGTGTTTTAAAAATATAATAAAGATCTAAAATAGAGGGTTTGTTGGAGTGAATAAAAAAATGCATTTTTTAAAATAAAAACACTATTGTGCTTTAATAAGAATATCTATTTTTGACTCTTTATTTTACATTTTTGAATGCTTTTTTCTAAAATAATTTATTAACTTTTGTTTAATATATATATTTAATATGTCAATGGTAAATCCATTCAAATTAGATAAATTAAAAATTAGAGTATTAAAATTTTCAAATGCAATTATTATAAAGTAAAGATAGAGAGTGTATTGAGCTCTTCAACTAATCACGGAATATCCATGTATAAATTTTTTATCAATTACAATATGTCCACTGGCGATTAAAACTTGTGGTGGATCTTAATCATTAATTCATTTTAGACTATTTTGATTAAAGGGAGAAGACAAATTTAAGAATTGCATCCTACAAGATGGGATATTCACATATCCTTTATATGTCAAGTAGGTTTTGAAATTTAACTAATGGAATTTCCTTGAACTGAATTTTAAGCTGAAAATTATTTCATGTATCATGTTTTCAGCTTTAAATTTTTTACTTTGGTCATGTTTTCCAAAATTGAAGTAGTTTAACATGGTAAGTTTGGCTTCAATATTGACATTACAGAGTCTTTTCATATTGTAAGTCTAAAACTCCATTTGTAATTAAAATGACTTTTGTTGACTCTTCTAAAACTGTAAGTGTAAACGTCTTCAACAGCAGTAAACTCTACATAAAAAAATATATATTTGTTTTGGGATCTCGATTTTTAATTCATTTTATGCTACTTTGAATAAATGGTTTTCATTAGTCATACAAGAAGATAAATGTCACATGTTCACATGATATATTTGTCCGAAAGATAATTGAGAACATGTGCCCTAGATCATGTAATTTGTCTTAACCCTGCATAGATGAGTGTCGAGTGACTCAACCTTGACGTATAAGGAGAACATTATTGTTGTGAAAGGGAGATGATGCCAGATTAATCCAATACCAAATTGTTGGAGAAAATAAGAGATTATAGCCACAATATGAAATAATTGATTACAAAAACAAAATAATTTATAGATAATGAAAATTTTATAATATGGAGAAATAATACAAAGATTTGTATTTACAATGCTTCTAACTTCTACTAAATTATAATGAAAAACCAACTATATATAGGAAACAAATAGAGAACGCCCAAACCTTAACAATAGAGTTGTAGTTGAAGTAAAATGCAAGAAGCGCCACTCTTCGAGCGTCGCAGTACCACGGCCGGCACCTCCCTGTTACAATATTATGTTGCCGGTGCCTAGCCGGCTCGTCTCTGTCTCAAATACTTTCCAAAATATTTTTTTTTCATTTCAAAGTTTTCTTCAAGTCCAACATAAATTTCAACTCTCAACTGAGCTTCCAACTAGAATTTAAATTAGAATTTGTCAAGTAAACTTGAATAGGATTCAACAATAGCATTCTAAATAGATTTTTTCTTAATGTACACTTTAATTAGAACTCCCAATTATCTTTAACAAAGAAATCGGGCCACACCTAAATTCTAACGGTTATTCCTAGAAGAGTTGAGATATTTTACATTATTAAACTGATTTTAACTTTGATGAGTTACTCTATTAGTAGATTGAACAAAGTCGTACCTTATTTTTAACTCCTATTTCCTTTTGGCAACATGGAGAGTTTGATGGGGTGTTAGGAATAATTGTTTTTCAGTTTCTTGATAGTTTGTCTTTTATGTTGTTTACGGTTTTAAGGTTTATACACTTTATACAGTCGCTTTGTAATCTTTACTTGATATTGAATAATAGAATACACTATGTTTAATAGTTTTATCAATTGCAATATTATCTGCTTGTGATTAAAACTTCTTTTCGAGGGATCGCAATCATTAATTCATTTTAGACCACTTTAATTAATGGGGGAAGTCAAATAAAAGAAGTGCCTCTTACAAGATGGGTTATTCATATATCCTTCGTATGCCAAACAGTATTTGAAAGTTAAGTAATGGAATTTCCTTGGACTAAATTTTAAGCTGATTTTTTCCCCTTCCTGTAGCATGTTTTCCCAAAGGATTCATAAGGAAAGTACTATAAATGTAGATTTAAAATATTATATGCTATCTGTAATTTCATGTAATCCAAATGTTAGGAAATATACAGCATAATGCAGACACCAAACTAAGGCTAACCTAGTTCAATATCCAATAACCGAATTCAACAGTTCAATCATGCAATGATAGAGTTCAATAACCAACAGACTTCCCTATGAACTAAACAACAGATTCAGCAAGCACAATAATATCCAGCATACATTAGCATATATATATTGTAGAAGTCATGAGAATACATAGAAGCTAAAAACTGAAAGCATAAATCGAGACAAAAAAGAGTAGAACTCTACTTCCCTTCCTGCGTCTTCCCTTCCTCACTGGCCAAAGTGTTTAGGCTCAGGAACAGCCTTCCATGCCATGCAATTCACCATCCAGAGAGAGTATTATAACCAGCCAGAAGCACCCAATACTCGACTTAGGTCATTGATCGAAAGATCTACCAATAGCAGTCAAGTTCGAGCCCTAAACATTGACCTAAGCCTCACAAGAAACCAACACAACCCAGCTCTATTTCAAGCCTGAGTAATACACGATAGTCTCATAGCAATAGGCTCAATAATCAGTTAATACCAGAGGAAGAAGAAGAAGAACCCAGAGACGGAGGCGAGCGCAAAACGGAGAGAAGGGGGAAAAAACGTCTCAAGGAAGGAACCCAGCCTAACTGAAGACCAAAGGTCAGCTCCAAGAAAATATCAAGGCTAAGATTTAATCCCAACCGTGGATTAAATCTAAGGGTCGAAAATGGTTCCAAACAAGCACACAATCCGGGTCATACTAATGTCACCAATAAGTGAGTGTCACTTAAGCAACAATAGTAATGAGTAAGTATCAATAGAAATGCACCGGCCCAATAAAGTGTTAGGGGAACCACTTAGGCCCAAATAAGCCCACACCAAATTTTCAGCATTTAATTTTATCAGTTGGTGATTTCAGGGAAGAGATTATAACATTCTAAAATTGAAGTCGTTCTTACATGGTTGGTTTGGCACAATAATTGTTTTTTATTTTTTTTTGAAAATTTATTGTTGACTTTGCTAAGTCTTTTAAAATTGTGAGTGCAAACTTCATCAATTATAGTATCTCTACTTGTGATTAAAAAAAGTTTTGCTTGTTCGGGGTCTCGATCTTTAATCCATTTTATACTTTGTTTAATTGTATACCATTTTAATAAAGAAGATATAATGTCACTTCACATGTTAGAGTTGTCCCATATGACTATATATTAAGAGCATGCTTTGGCGATATTAGCGTGGATTATACGATTTGATGTGTGGGTATTCACACTCTCTATAAGCATAAAAAATTGATTCGGGAATGTCTAGTGGTTATTGATTAATCATTTATTTCCAACATTTGTAACTTTCTAATGAGCCAATTAAAGCAATAATACAGCAGAGAGAAAACCGAGAGATAAAAATAATGCAATTGTTGACCACAGCCACGTAATTTAAACGAAGAGATAAAAATTTATATTTGGTGAGTCTTTTTATAGATTATTATTGTTGGAATTTGGTTTAGAGAATGAAAAATTTAGTTATGAATATAACTTAGAAAATGACTTTGTGTCAACTTCAATTAAATATTCGAACTTGATCTGATAGTCAAATTATATATATAAATTGAATAACTTGTTCTACTCATCGAGTTGATCGTCGTGATATATATATGGAATCACAAAATCAATTCCGTATGAATGAGATAAATGCCTAACTCCATAACTTGCCAATCGCTTAAGCGACTGGCTAGCAACAGCAAATGATGCTTCACTTCATGAAGGTTGTTGAGTTTGGAGCATGACACTTCACTCACAATCCGTCATCTTCTATAAATAGGACATTTTGGACGCCCATTATGCATTCCATATCATTTTGCATTGACCATTACATCAAAAACTCTTGGAAAATACTCTCCATAAATCATTTCAAAAAACATTTTCATCTAGAGGAAAATTTTTCTTCCAAAGTACGTTATTGCTTGTGGTTTGAAGTGTTTCTACCACAAGTTGTATCCGCTGTATTTTGGGGGACAAGTGCCGTAAACCGGTAGTACCATTGAGGGGCAATTTTGTCTTAAGGAGAAATTGTTTTCACTTGCCTCGGATTTCGTTCTTCACTTTCTTTTCTTTTTGTTACTTTCTTTCTTTTTATTTCTAGAGTTTAATTACGATCCTACAAATTAAATTTAAATATTTCTTTGTCTAAACAGCCATTTCAATGAATTATTTATGCTGTTTCTGTTTTTCCTGTTTAATACTTGATAAGTATACAAGACGTGCATCATTAAACTATTGCAATGCTCATCTGTCTTCTGCTATAATTATAATGTTTTCTGCATTTAAAGCCCCGCCCAGGTTTCCCAAAGTAATTCCACATATTGAAACTTTCTCATCTTCACACCATTTTGTGATTTTCTTGTAACACCGTCTTCAACTTTTCCACCTTACAAAAAAAGAAAAAGAAAAAAACAGAATATGGCGGAAGCTTCTGTAGAATTTCTGCTACAAAATCTGAAGGACCTGCTTTTATACAATGCTCATCTGATTCTTGACGTTAAGGAACAAGTGAATTCGCTGTACAACAATCTTGATTTGTTCAAATCCTTACTCAAGGATGCTTCAAAAATCCGGTACAAGAATGATTTCTTAAAAACTACAATGAACCAAATCAGAGACGTTGTATATGAAGCAGAAGATATTATAGACAGATTTGTTTCTGAGTCAGCTGCACGCAAGGCCCGGGGTAGCATGGAGAAGGCTTTAAATATATTTGATCATACCAAAATGCTTCGACGTGTGGGGAAAGAGATCGAGTCCATCAGCGCTGAGGTGAAAAGGATACATGACGACAAGAAGGAGTATGTAGTTAGGGCCCTGCAGCAAGAAGAAGAGGGACATGCAGGAAGCAGAAAAAAAAGAGAGGTAAAATACATCCGACATTATAATTCTAATTAAATTTACAACTTGTTTCATACAAATAAATGTTTAGTAATACTTGTATGCATTCTGATATTTCATGAGTATTTTTGTTTACGCAGAATACTTCGCATATATACAACAAAAATTTAGCTCTCCAAATTCATTTCTCCTTTGATGTTTAAATTATTGATCCGTTTAATACAAGTTTTTAATAATATGATTTAAATTTTAGGTTCCCCTTTTCGTTACTAACCAAAAAGTATTTCACAGAGCATTTTAAAAGTCTACTTGCAAATAATTTTCACCAATTAATATGATTAATGGATTTTGACAGATGCAATTCATCTAGTCTGAATATAGCCATCAATTTCTGATAAGACCCTTTTTCACTGTAATATAGGCTCCCATTGTAGAGGAAGACAACGTGGTGGGCTTTAAAGATGAGGCAGAAAAAGTAATCAAACTTCTCACTGGAGAATCAGAGGAACTAGAAGTTATATCAATTGTTGGTATGCCTGGTCTTGGTAAGACAACACTCGCTAAAATGATATTTCGTGATTCTACCATTCAATATGAATTCTACAATCGTGTATGGATTTTTGTTTCTCAAGAATATAGTAGAAAGGATGTGTTCCTCAATATTCTAAGACATTTCACTCCGCCCAGCGATGACATGTATAAAATGGATGATGAAGAATTAGCCAGCGTACTTCGTAAAGTCTTGGAGGAAGAGAAGTATATAATTTTCATGGATGATGTGTGGTCTAAAGAGGCCTGGGATGGTCTCAAAATTGCTTTTCCTCGGAACAAGAAGCAGAGTAGAATCTTACTTACCACTCGTTTTACGACAGTGGCTAGGCATGCTAAACACAACATAGAGCACCATGATTTGCGTTTTCTAAATCCTAGTGAGAGCTGGGAGCTACTCAAATGGAAGGCACTCCACTCAAAGGAATGCCCCGAGGAGTTGAAAGGGGATGGAGAGCATATTGCCATAGAATGTAAGGGATTACCGCTTGCAATAGTGGTGATTGGAGGAATTCTGCGAGATAATAATAATGAAATTCATTGGTGGAAAAAAGTTGCCAAAAGTGTGGATACTTATATTGTTAACGACCAGGAGAAAACCATGGCCAATTTCATAGAAATGAGTTTCAATCACTTGCCTTATCACTTGAAAGCATGTTTCCTCTATTTTGGGATGTTTCCAGAAGATTTCCAAATCCCAGTGTGGAAACTAGTTCGTTTATGGATCGCAGAAGGATTCATACAGGAAATCGAGGGAATAAGTTTGGAGGATAGAGCAGAGGAGTATTTAGAGGATCTTGTCAACAGGAATTTGGTCATGGTTGGAGAAAGGAGGTTGAATGGCAAAATAAAAAGTTGTCATGTTCATGACATGATACTTGTGTTTTGCAGGACTCAAGCAGCTGAAGAAAATTTTTTCCACGAAATTAAACAATTTGATCCAAGTAAATATACAGCTTCTGACCTCAAGTGGAATAAGTACCGTCGCCTATGTATTCATTCTCGTGTTTTGAGCTATCTCTCTTCAAAACCAGTTGGCCCACATGTTCGGTCTTTCTTATGTTTCTTCTATGATGATTTTGAGTTGCCTCTTTCCCTTATTTCTTCCATCCCTGGAGAATTTAAATTGCTCAGGGTCTTAGATGGTAAAGCAATTCATTTCCCTCGTTTTCCTAATGACCTAACTCAACTGATTCATTTGAGGTATCTCGTCCTCTCGTGCCATTCTAAGATTCTTCCTGCAACCTTTTCCAGACTTTGGAACCTTCAAACTCTTATAGTTCAGACGTCATCACGAACACTAGAAATCAAAGCAGATATATGGAAGATGATGAGACTGAGGCATCTAAAAACAAATAGCAATACATCCTCATCTTTGCCAGTCCCTCTTCTTGCTAATAAAAGTACAAGTACCGAAGATTCTTTGATAAATGGAAACCTAAGAACACTTTCTACAATATCGCCTCAAAGTAGTACACAAGATATCTTTGCAAGGGTTCCTAACATAAAGAAATTGGGTATTCGAGGCCCACTAGCTAATCTTTTGTACTCATTTGATAGTGTGGGAAAACTGGATTATCTTGAAAATTTGAAGCTATTGAATGATGTACATCCTAAGCCATCTTCTGAAGGAAAAATAGCTAGGTTTCCTCAAAAGTACCAATTTCCTCCAAAACTAAATAAGCTAACACTAGAAAACACTCGTCTTGGTTGGAAGCACATGTCTACACTTGGAATGTTGGATAGCCTTGAGATCCTCAAGTTGAAAGACAATGCATTCGATGGTGAGAGGTGGCAAACAGAGGATGGAGGTTTTCGTGTTCTCAAAGTCTTGCAAATTGGAAGGACAAATTTAGTTACTTGGGTGGCTTCTGCTCGTCACTTCCCAAGACTCAAGTCTCTTTATCTCAGACACTGCAGTAACCTCGGAGCAGTTCCATTGGGCCTTGCAGATGTTTCAAGCCTCCAGATAATTGACCTGCACCGTACCACCAAATCAGCAGCTGCTTCTGCCATGGAAATTAAGAAGCTTAAAAAAGCTATGCAAGACCAGCAAACCAACAAAGGCAGGGAATTTAAGCTTTCCATTTTTCCTCCTGATCAGGGTCAATGATCTTCATTTGTACAAGCTCAAAAATTCCAACTTCACAGGTAATACAATTTTTTCTCTTTTGACTTGGCATTTCTATTTGTCGTAAATTTGAGGAGCAAACTTTCAAATGAATTTCCATATTTAATTAATCTTCATATATGGCAATACCACAACAGCTTTAATTTGTCTCATTTACTAAGCTGGACTGCAATGATACCAATTAAAATCAGATACTTAGAGAAGAATTAGATGAACAAACTTATATCATTATTAGTCTGTGACCTTGCAACTTCAAATATGAAATCCATGCATATCTGCTACACTTAAATGAAGAACGACTAACTTTTCAGCATTGTTTTGATATGTTTGACTCAACCATGTATGCTGGAAGTTCATTATTAGTCTGTGACCTTGAAACTTCAAATATAAAATTCATGCATATCTGCTACACTTAAATGAAGAACGACTAACTTTTCAGCATTGTTTTGATATGTTTGACTCAACCATGTATGCAGGCAGATAATTCGAGAAATAACAATGCCATGGATGTTGAATAAGTGAAGCACAGATGAATGGAGCCATATCACCTCTTCGTAGTCATTTTGCACTCGTTTGAATAAAATAAACTATTGCACTTTATTGTACGTTGAACTCCAGAAGATTTTTATTTCACTTTGTTGAATGTGTTGAACTCATGATTTCGCTTTAATGGAAGTGTTATATACTCCTGATATCACTTGACCTTGTTTCTATATCTCTCTGTTAGACAGCGGAATTGTTTGTACAGTTACCTGAGAAGACAATTGATATTGACAGAAAATTCTACATTCTGCTAATACTGATTCAAACAAACTTCAGCCTGAAGTTTGAAGAGGCAAAAAACTGAATATATAGTACTTCTATCTAATTTGCTTTAAATGTTTCATGTTATCCCGCAACAAGTAATAAAATGATGAGTAGAATATCGTCCTATGATGATATATTAACTAGATTTTTAAGTTGAATTTTACTTACCAACTAGAATACACAAATTAATAATAATGGAGAAATCAAGTATCGAGGTATAAATGAATTAAAGAATAGTTTGGAGTCTCAATTTCACTAATTAATCATACTCATGTTCAATTCATAGTTTGGTTTAATTGTTGTGTTGTCAAATAATAAATCAAAGATAAAATACTAAAAATCATTTCTCGAGTACTTGTTAACCTATCTTTAAATATCAAACAAACTTCCTTTCTCGGTTAATAGATATTAAATAATGCATAAGAGCTTAGGACAACCGCATGATTAAGCGAAAATATTTCGAGTAACAAAAAAATATTAAAAAGCAAGATTGGATGTTCTAACATGGGTTCTTTCCATATAACATGTAACGTATATCAATGTAATTTATTCTCGTTAACAAAGTTGAAAATAAATCAACCTTGTCAATTTAGAAAAATGTCTAACCAAAAATCTTAAAATAATGAATTAAAAGATGAGTGGATTTCAATTAGCTATATTGTTCTTCCTAACATATAACTTAGCATTGAAACAAGGAGAATGAATCAAAACATGAAGAATTTGACATAGATATCCAATTTATCCTAGGAACGTAAAGATGGAATAAATCTTTTCAATCTTTTATCGTGAACCCCAAAACTCGGAATTCTTCGAACATGGGTTTTCATTATCTTATCTTAATTTCTTCCCAAGATAATTAATTATGGTGTTTTTCAATTGATATCGAAGATACCTTAATGTTTATGTGTGTTTTGAGGTGTTCGGAGACTTCGGGATATAAATAGAGGCATGGGTCCAAAAAAGGGGTCCAAATGAGCTAGAAGTTTAAAATAAAATAAAATTGAGTTTCCTATTGTTAGAATTAGGGGGTGATCCGAATTCTATTTGTAATGCTATTTGGGAATCCTATTTGAAATATATTCAACAATTCTAGTTGAAATTCAATTGGGAGTTTGAAATTTGTATTAAACTTGAAGAGGTCAAGATAAGGATTATCGAGAAATTTTCGATGCATTCCCCCTCTCTGAGCACATGATTCTCGCTCGAGAGCTCAAAGCAGGAAAACTGACACTCGCTTAGTGCCGCCTCGTGCTCGAACAAAGAAGCCGCTGTCCACTAGTGCTCGTGTGGTTGTTCATTTGGTCCAAGGCCCATTTCTCAGCATTCTTTTTCATTTATAACTCTATCTCTATGGTTTGAAACGTTCCCTATATATATTAGCTCTTCATTATAATTTAGACAATACTATAAATAGATTATCTTTTGATTCTCTCCATATTTAGTAAATTCTCCTTTCCTTTCCAATTATCTTTTGTTCTTGTGCGTTTTATGATATTTACTTCATATTGTGCCATATATATATTCATCCTTATATCACAACAAACTGGTATCAGGGCGAGGTTCGATCAACCCAGAGCTCAGCTTGATCTTTTGTGATAACAATCATGAAGTATGATATTCCGCTTTTGAATCGCAGTACAAGATTTTCGTTGTATCAGGTAAAGATACGAGTTGTGTGCTCGCCCAGATGGATTTGGATGATGCATTTTTGGGATTTAATAAGATGCCATAACATGGACGTGGGAGGAGAAACAACATAGGGATCGAAAGACCCTATCACAGATTCATCTTCATCTTTTGAATAATATTCTTTAGGACATTTTGAATTAGAAGACCGTCGCTACATTATGGTTGAAATTGAAACAATTATGCACGACGAAGAGTCTAACTAGCAAATTTCATTTGAACCAGCATCTATATTAGCATCGTATGATAGTAGGTACATCCTTAAAGATCACCTAGTTGTTTTTAAGGAAATTGTCTCTGATATGAAAACCTTGAAGGTCAGATATGCTGAAGAGGATTTTGATTTGATTTTGTTGTGTTCGTTGCCCCGCTTCATATATGTTTTTTAGAGAAATAATTTTATATAGACGTGATACTCTCACAATTGAAGAAGTTTATGACACTTTATTTTCAAAAGAGAATATGAAGCATCTTGTTGGATTTGAGGCTCATGAAAATGGCCTTGTTGTTGATGGTGGTTATGCGAAGGGCAAATTAAGGTCAAACTTCAGTAATAAAATTTGTAATTATAGCAATAAGAAGCGGCACATGATAAATGATTGCTATAAGTTTCACAATAAAGAAAATTTGACTGGAGCTAATCAAAGGGAAAGCAACCAGATACTCCAGGTGAAGCTAATATTGTAGAAGTCTTACTATAACAGATAACTTTTAATTATTTCTGACCCTGACTCCAAACCTCACGATGATTGAATTATTAATACAGCTTGCACTTTTCATATGTGTCACAGTCGAGATTTATTTTCAACATTTGAAAGAGTTTAGATGGTGCTGTGTAATGAGAAATAATACAGCTTGTAGGATAACTAGTATTTGTAGGGTCACAACTAAGATATTTGATGAGATTGTCAGAACATTTAATGATGTGAGACATGTTTTAGATTTGAAGAGAAATATTATTTCCTTGAGCACTCTTGACTTGATAGGGTACAAATACATCGGTGAAGGTGGAGTCATGAAAGTTAGTAAATGTGCCTATATTGTGATGAAAGGAAAGAAAGTATCCCAATTATATGTCTTTCTTAATTCTACAGAATTTTTGAAGATTAATCAGCAAATTTTGGGAACTCGGGTGGATTATAAGTTTGGCTCAGTACCGTCAGAGTTTAGTTTGGGGTTTACATTGAAGAATACATTTCAATCAAGTTCAAAAGTCATGGATAATTTCATTTTTCCATCATTACCAACAATGTCATCGTATTCAATTGCTAGAAATAAACTCAGGAGAAATATTAAGCATCCACATAGGTACGTGGATGCCGATTTAGTTACTTTTACTTTGAATGTGGTTGAAGGTATTGATTCTAGCCAAACACTTTCTATTGCAGTAATTAGTTGTGCCGATTTTGTTACACGGCTTGTTTCTATCATGTTTGGTGATTATTAAATTATTTATAATTATTTTTGTTGCTCATGTGGATAACTTAAACAACTTTGGTGTCCAAGATAATCCTACTGAGCAGTGCTTGGAATTTAGTTGATACTCAGTTATTGAGTTTATCCTAGCTGTGTTTTTTGATAGAGGTGGAGAATTTTTCTAATTAAAGAATTGTGTTTGGTGTTTCCAGGTGAAGAATTTTTGAAATTTTATTAATTGCAGTGAAATTTGTGTCAACGTGAAATTTGTGTTAAACCTGAAAATGTCAAGATATGGACCAAGGAGAAATTTTTGACTCATTCCCACCCACTGATTGCCTGAATCCTGCTCGGCGCTCAAAGCAGGGTAGCTGGTGCTCACTTAGCGTTGGCCTGCCGCTCAAGCAGCAATTCACACAGCCCAAGGCACGTTTAATATTTTAATTTTCTACATTCTTTTCTATCTATAACTCTATCTCTAGGGTTTGAAAAATTTCCTATATATAGTTAGCTCTTTATTGTGTTTTGGACAAGTTAGACAATATTGTAAATACAATATTTTTATATTTTTTCTCCATATTTTAAAGAATTCTCCTTTCCTCTGCCAAGTATCTTTTGTTATTGTGCGTTTGTGATATTTACTATATATTGCCATATAAATTCATCATCATATCACCACACCTATATTCTGCCCGAACTGTCATTTATGTCTGAAAGTGTTTCTCAGTCGCTAAAGTCTGTTTTTGAAATTTTGGGTTTTCACACTTTCGAAGTCTAGTAACGAGCAGTTCGTGACCAGCACAACCAACTAAACCGAGAAGTTTTACAGCACGAACTTCAGTTCACACACTGAAGTTTGTTCTTTCAATTTATTGAGCAATTGATTCTTCAGCTTTTCAGCGTCAATTGTTTTAGTCCACTAACTTCTTCGAACTTCAGTTTTAGTGCCAAAGAATTATGAAAACTTCCAATTAGCTTTTCAAGTCCGTTCAATTGAGTCTCAATACTTGATCGCTTTCATCTTACGCCATCCTTATCTCCAATTAAAGCTCTAAATCAATCCCCTCTTTAGACTTCAATTCATCCGTGGAAAATATGTACTTCCGTTTGCCCCAAAACTTCATAGAGTTCGTGAGCTAATCCTTCATCATCCACGTTATACATTCCCTAGCCGAGTGGAGCAAAACGTCTTCCAATCTTGGGGAACACTTCTTTTTAGTGTGAGATTTAAAGATGGCGTTACAAGAAAATCACAAAATTAGGTATGTCTCATAAAAACAAAAATAGTATAAATAACTTTGTGTTGTGAATTTACTTAATCATGCACATCGAAAAATAAATTACTTTTCAATTCCCACCATGGATCTGTTTTGTGTTAAAATTCAATCATACATAATTTGTATTTCACAATCACAACTCCTTGTAATTAATAAATTACAAAAACTTGAATCTACGAATTTTATTATTTAATTTATTAGAATATTAATCAAATTAAATAATAGATCTTACCATAAATATGCATCAATTATATATTAAAAGTGTATGTGTCCAAAATTGATTGGATTTAGGGCATAAAACTTACACTCTGAACACCTACTATCGGTCAATG